TCCCTGTGTGGGCTGGATCGTGTGCTTGTTGTTCTGCATATAAAACCCTCAGCTGAAAATACCCCGGGACAAACTCAAATGTCTTGGGTGAGGATTGCTCAGACATTGCAATCAGTGAATGTTGCTTCAAGCCTCCAGAAAAGGCATGTTGAAGATGAATGTCACACAGCGGAGTAGCAGGCCGATGTGTGACTTAGGTTGAGGACAGAATGTAGGCAGCTGTGAACTGGAGTCTACATGGACCCCAGGGCAGGATCTAAGGTATTTACCCGAAATCTGCATTCAGTTAACTGGTGCCTTACCCTCTCCTTGCATGGAATCAGGGCTTACTAGAACACTTTCGAATGAATGTATTAATATTTGTTAATCTGTGCAATATGTTGTTAATTTAGCCCAGCTTAAAGACATAGAACAGTACCCCACGTGGAGTCCGTTTTCCATTAAAACGGACTCTTTTACACAAACCTAAGACCCTGACAGTAGAGGTAAAACCCACATTCCCTTGTACATAGAAAAAACTCAATAAATTTTAATTTTTCATTAACTATTTGAGCGAGAGAAATGTCTCTGACCTGCCAATAGCTGTCAGGAAGCCCAAGCACTTTATCTGGTGGGCCAGGCTGAAGCAGAATGCTCCCGGTGGAGGCCTCAACCAAACTGCAGCTGATCAGAAAGGGTGTGAGGTGAAGAGAGAGGGCAGGTGCCAGGAGCAGACAGACAGCAACTAAGGCCAGCCAACTGGGCCTGCCACTTCCTCTCTGAACAAATACTACCCAAGCAGCCCCACTGAAGTCGAGCTTTGAGTCAGCTCTGGGTTTATGCTCTGCAATTGATGATCGGGACCCAAGCAGCTAGAAACAGTGAGCGTGTTGAGTATAATCTGTGGAGGAGAGCAGGACAGCATCTCGTACACTTTAGAGAGAATTTTCCCCATCGTTCCGACTCTCCTTCCCTCTACCTTCCAACTGGCTAAAATAAAGCTACAGCTACTAGCTTTAAGGTCTTAAGCCTTATCTGGAAAATTTACTTATGCTGAACACACTTATTCCCCCAGTAATGTCAGAAAACTGTGACTTTACCATACTTTTCATAGGCATTCATATGTGTCATGTACAAGTCACAATTTAAGACTATCATTATCTAATATATTTGAGCTATTGGTTTAAAATTCTGTTTAGTGTTCCTGTTTGAAAAGATGTGTTACTAGATATAGTTTGGTATGAAGCCAACTTTCCAGGAATGTTGAATTTACCAGGTTCTGTTGTTGGATTTTTTTTTGTTTCTGTTTTGGTTTGTTTTTTGTTGTTTTTTTGGTTTTTTGTTTTTTGTTTTTTGTTTTTTGTTTTTTTTGTACTGTGTAGGTTATAATGGAAGACCAAATGCAGAAGGGAGAGTACTTCCTGGTAGTAATGGAAAACCAAGTGGACAAAGAATTATCAATGGTCCTCAAGGAACAAAGTGGGTAGGGTAAACTTCTTTACACATACCGGTTATTTTCATGCTGTTGGAAAGAGAAAAATGGTGGGCATTGTATAATAAAAAACGAAGCGGTCTTTTTTTTCTTCTCTAGTTTTAACCACTTGTGTGTCGATATACTTATACTATATTGTTTCTTCCAGTGCTCAGAAAAATCCCTGATTCTCCTGAGTAACGAGTTTGCTTTCTTCTCATAACTAATTAGGTCAGACATGGGCCTTTGTTCCCATTTGCTTTGATTGGTTAGGAAGGTCACACAAATGTTTGGGCCAAACAGTTACAGAAAACCTGAGGCCCAGCCTCTCAGATGAACTTCTGTTTTCCCACTCCTGCCTGAGAGCTTTATTTTATTTCTTGTTATTGTTCGATTAAAGAGTATACATATTTTCTGTAAATTGTCTCAAATCCTTTGTAAAAGGAAGCAGGGTAAAAACAATTGAACAAACCAAAACTCCCGGAATCAAATAGGCAGTTTTTAATCAGATCACCTTTTGAATCTTCCAACAATTTGACCAAAATAAAGAACAAGTATTAGCGCTTTATGTACGTTTAAGCTAAATGACTTTAACTTCGTGGGGTTAAGATAAATGTTTAGGAGTTTTTGGTGGGTTGGGGGTGACAGGCAGAACACCTGACAGTGTTCAGAGTTTTAAAATATTTTTTCAGAGAGTCAAAAAATTATTTATAGTAGAATTCCCAGTCAAAACTTCCCATTTAAAACAATAAGGTTTAGGAAAACGTACTGAAGAACTTCAAAGAATTTTCAGTCACAGGTGACCTAAAGATCCATTTTATCATTTCTCAAAGGAACAGAAATTTATGGAAGGAAGGATGCATATTAAAGCGAAGCGTCATTGTAAACAATTTTGAATTGAAACGGTGTGGAGTAGATTTCAAAAGGAGGGTTTATATAAATAAGTTTTATTTTAATTACTGAGACAGCACCCAACAAAGTGGCCTGCTTGCAGGGGCTCCTCCAATGGCCTGATTGTGCAGAGTCATGGTTTTCAAACATTGGTGAGCATTGGAATCCCTGGGGGGCTTGTCAGTGCGGTCTGGGTAGGGCCAGGTAATTCTCATATCCGACAAGTTCCCAGGTGAGGCTGGGGCAGCTGGTCCAGGACCACACTTGGAGAACCAACAGTGTAGAGCATGAGTTGTTTCTTAACAGAGGTAATAATACCTTTTGTTCAAGTTTTATAATTCCTTAGAATATGAACATTTTGCATGCATACTGTATTAGGCAATTTAATTACAAATTAAATTGGTTTTGTTATAGCAACTTTGATTTTTAACACTCACAGCTAAATAGAAACATGTCATGTTCATGGCAAGAAGTTAAAACAATTCAGAAATATATGAAAAAGATAATACACATCCCAAACCACTTCTTAGAAATAACCCCTGTTAACAGTTTGGGATATAATCTGTCCAGAATTTTCTCTCTGCACTTTTAAGTTTATATACACAAATGAATATATTTTAGTTTTGCAACATAATCGGTCCTGTAATCTAAGTCTGCATCAGGATATGTCAATAAATATAGAATTTCCAAATCCTTTTCATGGGCTGCATAGTATTTCACTGGATGGATGGGCCATAATTTATTTAATCTCTTTCCTCTGTTGATGAACACTTAGGTTGTTTCCTACTTTTTACATACTACAACATATTAAATGGTAAAAGTATTTTGAACATCTTTTGAATATTTGAGAAACTTAAAACAATTTACATATTATATAGATAAGCAATTATAATATGAAATGTGACTGTTTCGTACTTTATTCTTATTAAACCTTATGAATGATGCTGACAAAAATAATGTTTCCTATTCACATATGTTCATGCAGTTGGATTAAGGTGAACATTTTGAAACGTTCAATATATCTTTTAATCTGTGTCATGGATTTAGGTCGTGGATCTTGATCGTGGGTTAGTATTGAACGGAGAAGGAAGGCACCTCCAGGATTCACAAGGAAATCCCCTTCGAGTTAAACTAGGAGGAGATGGTCGAACCATTGTGGGTAAGTGAGAGTGTTTTTTAAGGAGCAAAAGTGTCCTGACTTAGCTGTAGAGGGACAACTTCTCTCTTTCTCCTCCTACTCATTTTTTTAAAATTTTTTTTATTTTTTGCGGTACGCGGGCCTCTCACTGCCGTGGCCTCTCCCGTGGCGGAGCACAGGCTCCGGACGCGCAGGCTCAGCGACCACGGCTCACGGGCCCAGCTGCTCCGCGGCATGTGGGATCTTCCCGGACCGGGGCACGAACCCGTGTCCCCTGCATCGGCAGGCGGACTCCCAACCACTGCGCCACCAGGGAAGCCCCCTACTCATTTTTAATGGGGGCCCTTGAGCCATGTGGAAAGGAAGTGCCTCAGAAGGGGGCACTCAGTCCCTGATCCAACTGTCTTCTTACAGACTCTCCACCCTCTAGAAAAGGTGGCTCTTGACTTCATCCTTGGGATTGGGCAGCCGAGAGCAGGAGTCAGCAAAGCAGCTTCTGAAGCCAAACCCTGTCTGCTGCCTGTTATACAGCCTGGGAGCTCAGAATCGTTTTTACATTTTTAAATGACTGCCAAAAAATCCTGGAATGATAACATTTGTGACATGTGAATAGTATAAAATTCACATTTCACTATCCACACACAAAGTTTCAGTGGAGCATGGAAACATGCATTTGTTGGTGTACTGTCCGTGGCTTTCTTGCCCTGTAGTGGCAGAGTTGAGTAGTGGTGTCATAAAGCTTAAAATACTTACTCTCTGGCCCTTTACAGAATAAATTTGCTACCTTACTGTCCACAGTAACACTGAACTCTTTAGGGGTAGGAATGAAGAGGGGGAAAGAATTACTTTCCTTACTGGAGGCTTCGAGTTATTGCAGGTAATGGGGCATAACAATGAAATATTTATATATTTATATAAGGTAGTACAGAGTAATGGATAATATAAATAGCCTAGAAATTTCTGGATAGCAGCAGATACTGCTCCCTCACCTGATGTCCCTTTAATTATTTCTTTGCCTTTTACTGATGAAAATAGAAGCCTCTGAGAAGACATTTTCCACCTGCTTTTTGCTTTCCCTGTGTCCTTTCACCTTGTTGCACAGATTTTGTTTGATTTTTGTTTCAGATCTGGGAGGGACCCCCGTGGTGAGCCCGGATGGCCTCCCCCTCTTCGGGCAGGGGCGATATGGCAAACCCTTGGCCAGTCCCCAGGATAAGCCCATTTTGAGCCTCGGAGGGAAGCCCCTGGTGGGCTTGGGGGTCGTCAAGACAACCACCAGTTCCTCCACCGCCAGCACGCGACCCCCGACCACCACGCCCCCTCAGCCCACCACGACCAGCACCACGCGCCCAGCGACCACCCGAACCACTACGCGGTCAACCACCACTACCACCGCCCCCGAGCCCGCCGCTCGCATCCCCACCTGTCGCCCCGGGACCCTGGAGCGACATGACGAGGATGGCAACCTCGTCGTGGGCTCAGATGGGATCCCGGAGTGCCACCCCGAGGAAGGTAACCGTCTTCGTTGTGCCGGTAACTCATGCGATGGCGCGCTGCGTTGCCGACTAGGGCCGCAGAGACAGCGGGGCGGTGAGTGGGGTTGCACAGTGGAGAGGCAGCTGCAGGCACTTATAGCTCACGGGGTTTACTGACCGCGCTGTGTCACAACTAGGATGGCCAGACTCAGCAAACAAAAATATTGCGTGGGACGTGCTTATATGAAAGCTTCTCTACAATTCAAATCTAGGTGGGCATCCTCTGTTTTATCTGGCAACCTTTGTCACCACCCAAGTCAAAAATCTGGCTGAAACATGGGGCGTTGTTAGTTTGGACCAGTGTGCTTCCCAAAGTGTGTCCCACTGGATATTAGTAGATTAGTACTTGTTATAATAATAATTAAAATATAATAATTATTATATAGTAATTTTTAAAAATAGGTTCTGTGATTACCTGTGTGATGTAAACAAGGTTAAAGGAATTTCTTACTGTTGGACTCTAACTGTTGAATAGTCTCATTGTGAATTTTCAAGTAAAGTAGCATTTCCCAAGCATGTTTGATCAGCAGTCCCTTTGGAAAACGCTTATCCTCGCGTGGCAGCAGGGGCCGTCCACTGGCTAAGACTGAGCCCTTTCCCTGCTCTGGGACACCCAGCCAGGGCTGTCCTGCGCCCCTGCTGTGTCATCCTGTATTTGCCTCAGGCTGGAGAAGGCAAATTCACCCCCTTCCCTCGGGTTGAAATGAATTGCAATGCAGGCTGTAAAGCTTCTGTCTTTTTAAGCTAACGCAGAGTGAAGACCCTTCATTTCAGGAAATCACACTCATGCCCCGAATTCTTACATAGCATCATTGACCTGATAAACCCAATCAGTTTGAACATGAATGCTGTCTCCAAACTGGGAATTCTGTTTGAAGTTAGTCTTTCCATGGACAAGTTCTGAAGAAACAGGAACATTTGACATATCTGAAAAATTCACACCAAAGAACAAGAAACACACTGAAGAAGAGGATGATTGGGAAGAAAATTCTCACACTACCAGCTAACCCAGTGAGTACAAATTGGAATTTACCTTTGGGTTTCCGGTATGAAAATATTATGTATCTTCCTTACTTCTGCGTACGTTGATGTGTTTCATTTTTTTAATTGAAGTATAATTAGAACAGATATTTGTTTAATAATTGGTTGTAAACAGAAGAGTGACTATTTTGGATTTGGTTCTAATTACTACTGCTGTTATTATTAATATTTTACATTTTCTTTTGTCTCCTCTGATGTAGGCTTTATTGCATGTTCTTTGCATTTCCGTTGTATTTCGGGGCTTTTTAGAAGGTCAATATTTTTCTTGGTATTTTTGTTTCTTCTTTCCTTTGCAGATCATGCTAGAGATATGTATTTTTTACTTCACTCCTGTCCATTCGTCTGATAGCCTAGCCCAAGCCAAATTAGTGTCCAAGTGTTAATAATAATTTATCTCTAAAAGCAACTAGACTCCAATAAAAATAAAAAAATAAATAAAAAAGAAATGCAATGGTAGTAAAAAAAAAAAAAAGTAACAATTTACCTCTAGACAGCATTTCGAAAATAAGTACAATGTCTTGGAAAAGCAATTAAATTTGGGGAGAGCAACCTATCATCCTCAAACAATATCATAATGTACTATAATTTATGATTTTAAAAATACTTCTGTATGGCTTACCTTCCTTGTTTATTTCTGCTGCTCCACTAACAACTTTATTAAACATTTTCTTCCTAGTATCATTTCCAATCATAGTTGTTTTTATTAAAAAACATCTTGAATAATAGCTTTCTTGAGACAGAAATCACATACCATCAAGTTCTCCCTTTTAAAGTGTACAGTTTTTAGCAGATTCATAGAGCTGTGCAACAAGCAGCACTATCAAATTCCAGAACATCTTCATCACCCTCCAACACAAACCCTAGACTCATTAGTAGTCACTCCCCATTCTCTGCTCCTCCCAACTCCGGGAAACCACTCATCTACTTTCTGCCTCTATAGTTGCCTGTTCTGGACATTTCATGTAAATGGAATCATGTGAAATGTGTCCTTTTGTGTCTGGCTTCTTTCAATTAGCATAATTTGTTTTCAAGTTTCCTCCACATTGTAGAATATGTCTGTACGTCATTCCTTTTATTGCTGATTAATATTCCATTGTGTGGAGAGACCACATTTTGTCCATTTATCGGTTGATGGACATTTGCGTTGTTAACACCTTTTGTCTATTATGACTAGTGCCGCTATGAACATTCATGTACAGGTTTGTTTTTTTTTTTGAATTCCTGGTTTTAATTCTCTTGTGTAGAGTTGCTGTGTCGAATGGGAACTCTCTGTTTAGCTTTTTGAGGAACGACCAAACTGTTTTCCATCGCAGCTGCACCATTTTTATTCCCACCAGTAACGTATGAGGTGTCCAGTTTCTCTCCATCTTCACCAACACCTGTTATTATCTGTCTTTTTCATTCACAGCGGGTGTGAAGTGGTACCTCATTGTGGTTTAGATTCGTAGTTCCCTAATAACTAATGATGTTGACATAGCTATTTTTTATACTTTGTGTGTATAGGTTCTGAAATTGAAAGTGAGCATGATTAAGTCTTGTGTCTAGACAAACCCTGATTTAGGGAATTCATTTGATAAATGTTTCTTTATCATTGTACAGTGATTTCATTATGAGAAAGCCCGTGTGGTAATTTGAAGAGGATGGAGTAGCTCTTGTTTTTGTTTTTCTGGCTTCATTCATAATTTTGGAAAATAATGTCAGCAAATGATCATTAATCATCTACTCCACATGGGTTGGGTTCTGTGGGAAACACAGAAAAGTCGGTGATGTAGCTGTGCCTCTGAAACCTCACAATCTAATGCACCATCTACCTGAAATTACAGTAGATAGAAACAGCTCCCTCTCCTCAGGAAACCAAGTTGTTTACGGCAGAGCAAGATGGGATAAAGATCCGTTTCTGCAGGCCTGAGGCTTTGGTGTCTCGTGTCTCCTTTGGTTCTCTCATCTCTGTTGTCAGGTCTCATCAGTTCCCACCGCTTCTTCCTCCGTCACATTTCTTAGACTTCATACCTCCATTGCTAGGCTGACCCTATTGGCCCAACACTCAAATGATTCCTCCTTACTGGGCTTCCTTACACCAGCCTCCGTGTGCCTCCTACCCAGATGTGCAGCTCGACACACATTCCTTGAACGTGACCCAGCCAAGCCCTGCGCTTGCCTCAGAAATAGAAAGCACGGTCCCCGCTTCCTCCACCACTGGAACGCAACTGTCAGGGCTAATCCTGGAGAGAGGTAGAGAGGAAGGGAGCATCTTAAGGGGGAATTGGCTTCTAAAGACGGCTCGTAATTAGAAAATCACAGTCAAAATTGTTCACGAAAACCCTCTGTATTATCTCTAAAGTACAGTAGAGTTTGCCATTTCTTAGTTGAACACGTTCCAGTGGCCTCAACCTGCAGAAACACATCCTGTAAATGGGACAGTGAGACTCAGGACAGATGCTGATGTCAGCGGAGCGACAGTCCCAACGCTCCCCCTCACACTTCACTCCCAGTACCACCTGTACCGTGTCTCCCTGCCTCTTGCTCTGCTCTCGTGTTCGTGTTTTCTCTCCAGTACTTTTTTTGTTGTATTCGGTGTACAGTGGGCCCTCTGTACCGCGGGTTTCACATCCACGGATTCAACCAAACTTGGATTCCTTGTACTACTCTATTTTATAAAAAGGACTTGAGCGTTCACAGGGGCTCCTGGACCAAGTCCCAGTGTACATCTAGGGACGACTGTAGTTCGGTTTATAATGTACACCCACAAGTGCTGGGGCTCCATGTGCTTACAACCAATGTTTATTTACCAGGCAAATTGTGGCCATGGCACTTTGCAACCTAGTGACCTGAAATTGCTGTTGTAGGGATGATGATTTAGAACCTGTGTTGTGATCCCTGAGAGAATACCTCCCCTTCCAAGAGTCCCCTCTTCGACCCCCATATAGCCGACCATTTGTCATTATCTTCCATTGGCAAAGTCCTAACATTTTGTTTCTAGCCCTCCAATTTTAAAATCATCTTTTCACGTCTCTTAGTCTCGGCTCCCCTGGTTAAATCATGCCCCTCTTTCCCTTGAAAACACTGCTTTAAAATAGTGTTTTGGGAATAACCTTGTGTCATTAAATCATTCCAGTAATTTAAGCATTTGTTATAGAGGCCATATTGTTTGCATATTCCTGTAAGCATAGATGCATATTATATGCTTGTTTCCAGCGTATTGGTGTTCTTTCTCTCTCTTACACACACACACACACACACACACACACTTTTTTGCTTGCTATGACTTCTCTATTAAATAATAAACTCCTTGCAGTAGAGATAGCGTCCTCTGCTTCATCTCAGATTCCTCGTGGTACCTAATTATGCAGCTTTGGATATCTACATCATACCCCAAGCCATAGGCATTCTCTGTTTTCTACTGAGAAGTCTTTTACCAGCGATCCTTGTTTTTCAGGTTCCGTTTCGACAGCAGATCTGATGGTATCGTGTGTGTCTGGAAATGTTACGAGCCAGCTGAACGTCTTCAACAATTTGTAACGTGACCTTGGGGGCATGTTTTAGAAGACCATCAGTCATCGTGGAAAACAGTTCCCTCCTGCCACAGCTCACTCTCGAGACAGAAAATACAAACAGAATAATTGAAAATTCACTTGAGCTGGAAATTGAAAATTCACTTGAGCTGGAAATTGAAAATTTCACTTGAGCTGGAATTGAAAATTCACTTGAAAATTCACTTCAAATTCAACCAAATAATTTGCAAATATCCTTGGGTTTCAAACGGCTGGAATTTACCTTCTCTCTAAACTTCTAATGAGAATCTTTTTTATAGTTTAAAAAATATATCTCTGGAGCTAAGACCCGAACATTTTACGCTCATTTTTTTTCATGACTGTTTGGATAAACTACTCAAGAAAATAACCTTGAGTACCACATGGTTGGTGGCTGGTAGCTACTTTTATATGAAGAGGTGGAAGCTTTTGACATTGATTCTGGGTTGGCTTATAAAACATCCAGTTTTATGTAGCTCCAAATGCTTCAAAATGGCATTCAGGTGGGGCAAATTCTGAGGGTCAGCTTTTCCCCCAAAATTGTAAAACTATTTCATTACATCTGCAAGTTTCTTTTACTTGGAATCAAGATGGTGCTCTTTTAGAAAAATTATGCCTGACTTTATTTGGTCTTAAAACAAAAAAAGGAGCACTAAATCACTCAGTAGGATGTTTACTTTTGCCAGAGACTGAACTGTCACTCATCTCAAGAAGTGATCCAAGTTCGCAGGTGAAAGGCATCGTGTCTGTGGCCTGGTGCTGGACCAGAGCGTTTCAGCTCCTCAAGGAATTGTATTTAGTATCAGGAATCCATGAAAGAAACCCTATAGTTTCCCCTTTTCTCGTTCACTCCGGGATGCAAACATTGTACAGTTTATTCATTTTGACCTGAGCAAGAATAATAATGAAAGGAAATGAACCTGAGCTGATAATGAGGTGAAACAAGACTACATTCTTGAAAGTTAAATGGACACAGGGAGGAAGATGGTTTCTGGGACACAAGAGCCAGGTAACTCCAAACGTTAGGTGGTGTCAACCTGAAAACTGTCTAATTGAAACCAGCCCGGAAGTCATTCCTCTTGGATCCAGACATATTGACATTGGAATGACCTAAAAAAACATCGTGTCTAATCGTTTGTCTCGAAATGCCCATCCTGAAAGGCAGATCATTTACAACTTCTCTTTGTTGACTTTCATTGGACCTGTCAGAACATCCCCAGCGTCACCACCTCCATGGTGAGGCAGGTGAGGGGCGTGTCACGGGCCTCAGGTGTATGCGGGGCTTTTCATCGCAGAGGGGCCAGACAGGCGAGGCAAGGTTGCCACTGTCCTCGGCCGGTGGAGTTTGTTTCGGCAGCATCGCACTCCTGAAGTTATTCAAAGTAGGCTCAGACAAGGCTAGTAGAATGATTACACTGGTGTATCTCTCAGGAATGATCAGTGATTTCCTAGCAAGAAAACCATTCAAACTTGGTGCCTGTGATATTTTGAGTGAAGGGCGTCGGTATACTTTCTAGTTCAATTCCCCTTTCATTATGCTGCGGAATGACGATTCTAATAAAGTGCCTTAAGGTTTACAAGCAAAAGATCGGTTAGTCCAACTTTTAAACAGGGGCGGCAGTGATGAAGTATGAAGAACATAGTCTTTGGAGCCGAGGCCTTCAAGTCCAAGTCTGTTTCAGCGCTTTATCCTTTACCAGCTGTGTGACTCCAGGCATGGTATAAATCCTTTGTGTCTTTGGCTGAGAAGTGGGTATAATGAACCCCATTTATCTTATGTGAGGATTAACTCGAACAATATATATATGTGACAGTGCCTGATGCCCAGAAGGCAAGTGATAAATCCTAGTTCCTGCTTGCTGTCCCCTCACACCCCCTCTGCCTTTTAAGTGTGCCTTGAATTGAGAGTTCCGTATAATTGCTGTGGCTTCAGGTCAAAAGGAAGAAAGGAATTCCTCTGAATTTTTAAGGTGCCTCAAGATCTTACCGGCTACAAAGAAACGGTCTCCTTTTTGCAGCTGCGTTTTCCTCCCACAGGTCGAGAAGTAATATATTGATCTCCTCCCACCTTCTCAAAAAAGCTTCTGCTGAAAGGACCCAGATGGTGGACACAAAAAATGTGGTTTTTGCTTTCACTCACCTTTCTTAACCAAGTTGTCATCCATGCTCGTGATATCAGTTCAGTCATTAATAATAGTCATTTTAACCATGGTTCTTATAATTAGGGCTTTCTGGAAGACATCAAAAAATCACATATAAAAGTCTATTAATTGCATTTAGAGGATAATTTTGTAGTCACAATAGATCTCATGGTTTTGTAAATAGAGCCCTACCCGTTTGTAAAGGAGTTTGTAGTCATTGGAATATTATTTCCAAACTTCATATGCAAGTTAAGAAGTCTAATCAGTACAGATTTACCTCCTGAGTCGGTGAGAGAGGGTGGGAGCTTAGAGGGGCAGTGAAGCCGGATTGGGAAAGAGGAGAGGCAGGAGGTCACCCTGCTTCTGGAACATGTGAGTGGCAGGATCCAGGGGTTGGAGAGAATGAGGGTGCCATGAACAAAGGAGCTCCCGGAAGAAGGGGTTTTGTCCCCATCCTGGGTACCAGCTGCCACTCTCTGCTCTCCCAGAATGCCTGTTCTCAGGCCTGCAACATCCCGGGCCAGGGGGAGCCTGGGCGCCGCAGAGGTGGGAGGAAGGTCAGGAACAGCCCCTTGAGCTGGTCGGGGATGCTGGGGAGGCATCTTTGTTTCGATCCTTGAGGGCGCCCCAGGGCCCTTTTCTGAGTACAAAGGAGAGAAAATCTGGGTTCCAGCTCCCTTCCTTCTGAGGAAGCTGAGGAGCCCCTGGCAGGGGGCGCTTGCTCCCCTGGAACCATCATGGGGCTGGATCACTGTGTCCTCGGCGTGATGCTGAGAAGAGACCCTGGGGCGTTTGCTGACCCTTCCCCTCTCCTCCTTCACTAGATGAGTTCTCAGGATTGGAGACCGACACGGCGGTGCCCACGGAAGAGGCGTACGTGATCTATGATGAAGGTACTAATGTTTTTAAACACATTATTTGCATACTTTTCTGATGGGAGAATCTTATTTTAATGACTAAGTGGATGACTTCAATTTCCGTTTCCTTCGGAACTCAGGGGTGGGTGGCAATGCTTAGGGAAGGGTGGTTATACCGTCCCCCTCCAAGCTACCCCCCAATACAGGTTAACCTAAAGGAAGACAGTGTTCTTGCTACACAGATGCAGCTTCCAGACCAGTTCCCTGAGCCCCCCTTTCCCTCCCTCTCAGCCCCTCCCTCCTCTAGAGATCCTGGAGCTGCTTCATTCTGAGCCTTCCTGTCCCCCATCCACACCGTTAGTAAAATGACTTGGTTTAACCAGGTCTGGGCCTCCAGCCTTGACTCTTCCCATTCTCATTCTTTCCTTCCTCTCCTTTTCTAATTACATAAAAAAATGCAGTGCTCTAGATGTGCTGATTCTTTTTTTTTTTTAATCATAGCATGTTTTCATGTCAAGGTAAGTTTCTAAGATAAAGAATACACACGCCTTGCATGGCACCTGGAACACTCACTCCATCAATGGTAACTAATCCTGTCATTGTACTTACGACCCTGCGATGGTTCTGTGTGTTTTGTAAGTTGCCTCCGAAATTGAAGGAATTCACGTGGAAATCTTGTCCCCACCCCAGTGCTGGCCTTTGACACTCGGGATGTCTGTCCCCACTTTTGTGCTCTGCCTGCCTGCTGCTGTCTGTAGTTCCAAGGCTCTTAAATCACGAATGTGGGAATAATGTCACCTTTGATGCCATCACGATCGTTCCATGTAGTGGTATAATCCCCCAGTTTTCAAAAAAAAAAAAAAAACAATGGACTTAAAAGAAAAACAGATGTGAGAAAGCAAAGGAAGCTTTCTTAGCATCTTTGAAAATAGCACCTTTCTTATGGTTTGGAGCTGTTGAAAGGGAGCAGAGTTTTCATTTTTGTTAACGGATTAGTTCTCTGAATAGGATTAATCCTACACCCCTCCCCAGAGAAAAGCCCATACACAGAAGATAAATTTTTAAAAAAATCAAGTTTCTTTTCTCATGTGAATTTTTTATGGCTTTAAAAGGGAAAATTATTTAGGCAGAGAATGGTCTTGGACCAGTAACAGGAGCCTGCAAAACGGGGTGAATTCTAAGTTTCTGTCCAGCTTTGATTCTAAAAATCTCATTTTTCTGGTCATCATGTTTCTTTTCTTCCTTCCTTTCTTTCACCAGGAGCTGCTTTTCCGAGAGGACTGAAGTGGGAGGAGATACTGTTTTGTTAGCATCAAAGTCTGTTCAGGCATAGCATTTATTCCACGGAGCGGTGGGGTGCGTGCGCGCACGTGCTTCCGTGTAGAGATCAATCTTAAGAAGGTCTCTTTTGAGGGTACACGGTGCCCCTTTTCTGGAAGTGCCCAATTACAAAACCATCGCATCGTTTCAGATTATGAAGCTGAGACCTCAAGGCTGCCGGCCACCACCAAGCCCTCCACCCCTGCTGCCACTCCTGCTGTCATCCCCCCGGAAGGCTCCATCAGTTCCTACCCTGAAGAAGAGTTCGATCTGGCTGGAAAGAAGCGATTTGTTGGTAAATAGAACTTCCTGAATCAGAGAGCCATGGGTTTTAACTTTCGTTCCTTGAAGAAGAGCACAGCTGATCCCTTGGACTGGCCAAGGCACTTGCAGCAGTGGCTTATTTTCCCAGATGAATTTTCCATTTGGGCTGATTCAGCGAGTCATTCCTGTTTAGATGCACGTGAGCTTGCTTTCTGCAGAAGTCGGGAGGGGGGATGAATGCAGGAGAACATTTGGGATCCGACAGAACAGAGTTCAGAGAGGCTGCCTTGTGTGGACAAAGAGGAAGGAACACTTTCGATAATCACCAGTCCAGGGAGTATGAGTATTTTTACTGTAGCCAACTTTTCTGAGATGAGACTTCCACTAGGCCTTGCCTGCACTTCATTAACTTCTTCCTAAAAGATGAGCGGTTTACTGAATTGGGCTACTTAGAGTTTCAAAGAGCTGAAGCTGTTTTCCTTTAGTTTTTTTTAAATTAATTTATTTATTGTTGGCTGCGTTGGGTCTTCGTGGCAGCGCGCGGGCTTTCTCTAGTTGTGGTGCGTGGGCTTCTCATTGCGGTGGCTCCTCTTGTTGCGGAGCATGGGCTCTAGGCGCGGGCTTCAGTATTGTGGCTCACGGGCTCAGTAGTTGTGGCTCACGGGCTGTAGCGTGCAGGCTCAGTAGTTGTGGTGCACGGGCTTAGTTGCTCCGCGGCATGTGGGATCTTCCCGGACCAGGGCTCGAACCCGTGTCCCCTGCATATGCAGGCGGATTCTTAACTAGTGGTCACCAGGGAAGCCCATTCCTTCAGTTTTTTCTTCCACTCTTTTTTACATTCTTTTCCCATATAGGTCATTACAGAGTATTGACTAGAGCTCCCTGTGCTATTCAACAGGTTCTTATTATCTTTTCTCTGTATAGTACTGTGTTTGTCAATCCCAATCTTCCAATTTATCCCTCCCTCTTCTTTCCCCCCAGTAACCACAATTTTGTTTTCTGCATCTGAGACTCAACTTCTGTTTTGTAAATAGGTTCGTTTGCCCTTCAGTTTATTTCCTATAGTTTTTGTTAGCCTCAAGGACTTGTGACCTAGAAATTGATTCTATTCTTCTTTCTCAATTATTAAAACAATTTCAGGAGGATATTCTGTTTCACTAAACTGTGTTTCATTCCCTTTGGGAGTCTTCTTTTCCCATGCCCTTAATGAACTTTGCTAACAAGACAGATTAACATATTACTAAGTGGAAAAACAATAAGTTATTACTGAGTGGAGACAGGCAACAGCTTAAACTAA